AGTACAAAAGTGTGAATTCTGAATCGACTTAGATAGCCTAAAAAAGTGAGTGGTTGCAGTTGAATCCTGAACTATTTTACATTTATCCTGGATGATCTCTTGCTTGAGAGTGTTGGTTTTCTTTTTTCAAACAGAGACATAAATGGAGAGAAGATCGGGTAGATGATGAAGAGCAGAGCATAAACTAAAACGGAGAGAAGTATATGACTTCAACTCAGTTTTTCTCATTCCTTTTACTCCTATTTATAGGAGAATATAAACTTAATTTAAAATTCAAAAATCAAACAACTATTTTACATTAAAAAACATCAATAAAATACATTTGAAATTTGAAATGTGTAAAAGCCATTCCTGTCACATTGCTGCGTCCTTTGGCAGCTCTGCAGCATGCTTGGTCCCTTGGCAGCTCTACAGCATGCTTGGTCCCTTGGCAGCTCTGCAACCTCTGTGCAGCTTAGCTTTCTGCACTTTGCTGCTACCGTGCTTTGGTGCAGCTCTCCCATCTTTTCATTTTGCTGCAACTTGTGCAGCTCTTCTTTCTTCATTTGCTTCCATTTTGTGCAGCTTTCTTTTTCATTTGCTGCTACTTTTGCAGCTTGAACACCACAGCTCCAACACTCCTCCTTGGTGTTAAAGCTGTAAAATCAAAACATTTATGCCTAAGCACCTGGGATCAGCCCTTTGCTGTCCATCTTGTGCTTGGTTTTCATCAATTTTTTTTTTCAGCCATGTACCATCCTTCTCAAATAACCTCAGCTCCTCTTTCATTACAGCTTTCCTTCTTTGGATGTTGCTGCCTCAAACAAAATTTGGAGGTTTTTGCAACTAAGTTGCCTTTTCTGAGTAAAATATGTTGGATTTTTTAAATCAAAGAAAATGGAGAGAACCGAGAGGAAGAAGATGAAGAGCAGAGCACATAAAATGGAGAGGAGTATATCACTCCAACTCAAGAGATATCATTGATATTTTACTACATTTATAGCAGAAACAATACAATAAAAAACAATTTTTTTCTCACCTAACATTTTACCCGATACAAGAAAATATTAAGCATTTAAAACAAAAGATTACATTCAAAGATTTACTGCCATTTCTTGTAGCGCATGTGAAGCTCCATTGTGCTGTCACTTTGCTGCTACTCTGTAATCATGTTGCAGCTCT